GAGTTTAATGCGTGGGTCTTGGCAGGTTGGGTTTTTAATTTGCCCTGCTGGCACGACGAACCATTATGGCCAAACTAGTTGACGTCTTTTATCAAGAATGACAGGAACATGTGTGCCTTGTTTTCCCTCCTCTAATGACGACGTATTCCAGCAGGTTTCGACGGGAGAGCAGAATTAGCTGCAGGAAACTGGTGTCAATTCATTAGCAGAGCCAGTTCACCTCCCCAGGATATGACAGGGTATGATTGTAGATGAGATTTTAAAGACCACGGGCAAAACATTAGGAGTTCAAGCAATTGCGGAACATATCTCTCCTTGACTGCAGTTCAGATGTCCTTTCCACCTATCCAACCATAACAGATTCGGTACTTGTTTATGTTTGCTTGTTCAAACAAACAGTGGTTTTTTTTTTTCCTTTCAAGTTTCAGCGCCAAACCGTTCTTAAACAGTTGCGTAATATCGTCTGGAATACAATGAAGAAATGCTCTCTTTAAGGTTTTTTTTTTTTTTCGGTGTTGAATGCACTTCTTTCAATAGGCTCTCTGTCACCCCCAAAAAATCTTATCTTCCAAGAAAAGATAGCGCTCAAAATGTTCACACGCATTGCACGCTGTCCTCCAAATGAAACTTTGCTGTCAAACAGAACGTTGGCATTTTTGACACGTCCACAGTCCAACGCCACCTCTCGGCAATTTAGCCAAGACAAATAAAAGAGCCACGTTTCAGAGTTACGCATAATTAAGATCCAATTTCAATAGACACGGGCTCAGTCTGACGACTACCCACGCTCGCTCACAGCAGGAATAAAAAAAGCCTGACCCATGAGAGACAATGAGAATGGACAACCACGCTGGACTGACTCACTATCCTTGGTCTTATTTTGCTAGTGGCAACGAAAACACAAAAAAACCTGATGCAAACCCAACGCTCACCGCTACTTAGTACATGTATATAAATGCAACAAGGAATCCTCCATTCCCACAGCTGGGGTGCTGTCATTTTTGATGGGAGAAACGCTCAATCATCCTTGACGCCAAACCATTTGTTTTCCTTCTAATACCGACACCACATCACGGTGACATCATGGAAATATTGACTGCAGAGCATTCGCAACTGCAAACTGTTCATTCTATCACATCGACATGATGGAGTGTGAAAAGATCGTTGATTACCCACGGATCATTCGTTAGGTTCTCATTAGTGGTTCGCTCGTACGACTTTGTCAGTGCAAAATTTGACAATTTATCCTTAGCGCTATTTACATACAGTGTGTCCCCAAAAAAATGTCCCTCTGATAGACTGCTAAATTAATTCCAAAATCAAGTATTATTCTCAATTTAGTGTTCAGATTAAGAAAGCCCATTTAATTTTGTAACTTCTGTGAAAATTTCATTGGTCTCGCTTCATTGGTTTTGAATACACAGTCTATTATGTAACAGCAGTGCTTTTCAGCCCATTCCAAGTTTGCAGGTGGAAGGACGTGCAGGGGGACAATAGAGGTTTACAAGCTGGACATTGAAGAACAAACCATAAGTGGAACACACCCTGTGAAAGCAAACACGACCAGTGGAACTGAACTTTGATTAGTTTTCATTTAAAAAAAGTAAATGAACTTGCCTTTAGTTACTTAATAACAAAAACAAGAACACAGTTATTGAAATAAGAGTGAAGCATGGAATAAGGTATGGTATGTCTGTAGTGTGCATTTCTTTTTATCAAACTTGGAATGGGCCGGAAAGCACTGCTGTTTCATAAAAGCCTGTGTATTCAAAACCAATGAAGCGAGACCTTTGAAATTTTCACAGGAACTACAAAATTAAGTGGGCTTTGTAAATATGTAAACTTAATTGAGTATAAAACTTGATTTTGGTAATTATTCTGTGGTCTATGAGAGGGACATTTTTTTGGGGACACGCTGTACATGATTTTTGAGTCAGAATGGAGCAAAATTTTTTGTTATTTTTTTTTTTTTTTTACAAGATGTTAACTTACTCTGTTGAAATAGTAAGACGTTTCTTAAACAAATTTTTGAGTTGATAAATAAAAGTCTGCAAAAACATATCAACCTTCTCAAAATACACAGAGTTTGAAAATTAGACCTACCAGCTTAAACATGTTGTGACAAAAATTACCCCAGTCAACTGTTTGGTGAGCTTTTTTTTTTACCATGAAAATCATTCAAACCATATTACAAATTTTACCAAAATGTTATTTTGAAATATTTCTTTGTCTCCAAATAAAGAAAACAAATTTAAAAACCGTATTTTCACATGGACAGCTATAAAGTCTTCATGATGAGTAAGTCCATTATTTTGTTATCGGTAATCCTTCCACAACATTATCAACTACTCTTACGCATAACTTATGCTAAAATATAAACACCAATTAATTTTTTTTACCAAAGAAAAGCAACTTAAAAACAACCGTCCTGCGCGTCATGCATGTATTTTAGGTCCAACTTGTAGAGATGAACGGGTATAGTACGGTATATGTTAATTTAGTCACATGACGTCATTTGCCCAAGGCCTTCGGAAACACACTTCATCACCTTTTGACGCAGTAACCATGGCAACGTAAACTTCACGCTCCAATGAGCAGTACTAATTGCCACCATCGTTTCTTTGCAATAATACACCTTGTCTGTTAACAGTACAAAATGCCGTGCCACAATACTGATGCATCTAGCTCCGTCATTAAATTAATGGATAAAATTGCACCTGGGGTCCAGAGTACGGCAAAACAATAACTCAGCAACTAATAACCTCCTTCATGTAAAAGAATGTTCACGTAAACCCATTGTTATTGGCCATTTTATTAAATTCACCTTGTTTTTATAAAGAATTGAGGTAAACCCCCTTTTTTTTTTTTTTTAATCTAAATTTTTAAAGATTTTTTTAACAGAGAATGGCTTAAAGGGAATATACAACATTTGCTTTTGCTATAAGTTTCAGAAATGGATGGATTTGGGGGTTAGTATATTGTAACACTGACTTGTTTGAGGTTTTGTTTGTGTTCCTAGATGCCGGGAAAAACAAGAAAAACAATCGTGTTCACCGTAGTCTGGTTCCTTGACCCAACTCATGATGAAACGGCATTGAAAGATCAGGGAACCTGTCTAGCTGGCTTGTACCAGTTCATAGGTGATTAATCAATTTCAAAGAAAATGCGGGACTTACTAATACGGTACATTGAAGGCAGTATTTGAAAAATTGCCAGTTATTTCCAACGCTGGTCAGCCGACCTGCGTTGGAAGTTGATCGTAAAATTTCACTTTTCTTGAAAATGACAGCACACCAGGTGCCTGATTGGGGTAGTGATCGCCCCTCCAAGGACCACATTCAAAAAATAAGAAATAAGAAAGATAACCTTTTTACATGGAGGCAGTTGAAGGATTTTGCAGGATTGAGGTTGCATCCCAGCAAAAATGCCTAGGGAGTTAGGGTTTGCCTAAACAAACCTGGGCAACCCAGCAGTCCCAAAAAAAAAACATATCTGATGTTTATTAAAGAGGTTGTGGAATGCTTGAAGACATTTCCGTCATTTTTCGGGTATATGTAGCCTAAGGTGTGATGAAATAAAAACGACTATTGTTTCTGTCATGAAATGAATACAAAAGATACTTTTGAGAGCTGTTTTTCAGGTCCTGTTTCGACCCGAACCTGCAATTTGTGTAAAACTCATCAGTGGGGGCAACAAACAAAACTTAGAAAATCGTGACGTAATAAACAGGACTCCCTATGCAGCGTAGAATAAACGAGTCCTGTTTATTACATCACGATTTTTCTGATTTTACGAAGAACCCGACGACTGTTGATTTCAATTATGTGCTCGCCGACCAACAAATTACTCGATGAATTTCAGTTTTATTAACATATAAACGCACATTACAAAAGAATGGGAGTTTGTCATTATGATATATACGGGTCTACTCTACAATAAAAAAATATAAAAAGCAAAACGACTTTCAGCATTCCACAACCTCTTTAATGTGTTTACCACATTTCATGGTGCCTAAAATGCACTGAGCACATGCAGACAAGCGAAATGTTAATATTACTTATCGCTCACTACACTTGCCACTCAACTGTAAGTAACCAATTCGATATGACGTCAAGGAATTTATTTTGTCTAAAACTAGTATCAAATCAAAGGGGAATGACGGTGCAGTAATTTTTTTGTTTTTAATCAACTCCTTTAATTTAATTTCCCTGAACGAAGAGTCTTTCACGCGTCATGATGATGCACTTAAAATGCATGCAAACAGTCAGTGCAGTCAATATTGGAGATGGGCTGTCTCATACACAACAACAGAGGGCGCTATTACAGTTAAATGATCACAGCAATGCTCCTTTAAGCAAGACAGAGCCAAGCACATTCAAAATGGAGTCTGGATACTACGCACACGACCCCGCCAGACTACCGCACTTGCAAGCAATTTTGCTACATGCGATTACGGCCCTTCAACTGAGCACGCTCAGTGTGTCAACTAATTTGAATGATTATGGTACCGGTACGGTAGATACTTGCTCCATGTTTGAAAATAGAGGGCGTTGTTGCTACATTTATGCCTGATTTCTAATTTTGGACACGGAATGGCAGCAACAGCTTTCAAAAGCTTACCCAAAGAACGTTTTATACTCCGTGCAAATGCGAGCGCGGACCCAAATTCGTGATGTCACGGAAAGAATTCACTGAAGTTGAACACATTTCAACTCAGGCAAATTTCGCAGTGCATGGTTCCTGACGTCAAATTTGCTTCAAATTCTTATTGGCGTGAAGTTTTGAACGTCATTTTAACCTTCTTTCTGTCACTGTTGAGTAACTACCGGTGCATGGCAATCCATATCATTCAAAATCTAAGCTCCTCTGAATCACTGCTAAGGACACTTTCCTTGGGTCTCTAACTCCAAAACCTTCTGGTAGATTTTCAAAAAGTCTGGCAGTGTTTCAATCAATGAAAATAAATTAACAAAATTATTTGTCAGCTTGTAAAATCTTACCTTTTTGTTGAGGATCCCCCTTGGCGCTCTTGCCAGTCTTGGGAGCTACCTTGGGTGGATCGTTGCCATACTTTCTCTTGTACCAAGCCATCTGTTCAAGGCAAAAAAATGTAAAGTATGTAAGATAAGTGCTGTCGTGGAGTCCAACACAAGTCCATCACAAGTCATTCACAAGTCCATGACAAGCCAATCACAAGCCAATCACAGGTCAATCACAAGTCATTCACAAGTCATTCACAAGTCCATCACAAGCCCATCACAAGTCCATCACAAGTCCATCACAAGTCATTCACAAGTCATTCACAAGTCATTCACAAGTCATTCACAAGTCAATCACAAGTCAATCCCAAGTCAATCCCAAGTCCATGACAAGTCCATGACAAGTCCATGACAAGTCAATCACAAGCCAATCACAAGTCAATCACAAGCCAATCACAAGCCAATCACAAGTCCATCACAAGTCAATCACAAGTCAATCACAAGTCAATCACAAGTCCATCACAAGTCATTCACAAGTCAATCACAAGTCAATCACAAGCCAATCACAAGTCCATCACAAGTCCATCACAAGTCAATCACAAGTCTATTATAGTAAATGGCATTCTAGCATTCAAAGTTATGAAAGTAATGCAGGGGTGAAAAAAAAAATTCATACCTCTTTTGCGTCAAGGGATCCCTTGTGACGCTCGGAAAAGCTCCGTCTTGCAAAGCTATCGCGTTGGAATTGATTGTAAGGGTCGTCGACAGGACTCAGCTCACTGAAAAGAAAGAATCATTTGAATGATGCAAGTCACTGGAGATCTTAACCAAATTTAAGGAAAGAATGTAGTATCCAGACGCCACTTCAGCAGTTGTGCACAAAGTCTATGGAGAGTCAAGAACATTTTCTAGGTATTTCCTAACAAAATTGGAAATGTTTCTCAGTCCCAGATTCATGTCTTATCAAAATTTTTGTAAAATGACTGACCTTCATTGAGATGATACATGAAGAAAAAAGTGGCGTCAGGTTGCAACATTCTTTCTACATTTAATCTTTGCGCAAGGCACTTTGTCTCTTACTTGCTTCTCTCCAATTTACAGAAAATATCGCTTAGAGAATTTATATTCTAAGCACACATCAGCTGCGAACCAGTCACAAGCAATATGAATTACATGACTCTTGCTGGTAACCCTTTCGCTAAGCGAATATTTTCTGCGCTTTGCAGATTTCAATGCACAGCAGCTCATGAATTTGGTCAATGGTGCTTAGAGAGCTACCTCATTGCTACCCCTACTCAATGGGCCAATAAAGCATCGTATGTCCTTCTCAATTCCCGGAGCAGAGTAAGCTGCCAGTTTTGTGCAAATTATATTGCAATAACCATCTCTGCCCTCACCACTTTACTCCTGGGTAGGGAGAAGCAACTACTTATAAAGTGTCTTGCCCAAGGACACACACGCTGCAATCCCAACAGGCTGGACTCGAACCCACAATCTTTAGAATTCAAGATCATGACTTACCCGTTGTCTTGTTCGGCTTTCTCCCACGTATCCACCAGCCACTGAGGTGGCGAGGGGGCCTTGGCAGAGGATGGGCCTGCGGCATCTATCTTAGCAATAGCCTGAAAATACCACCAGAAAAAGAGGTTTCACATGAGAATGGTTACGGTTAGCACATTGGGTAGGTCGTCAGTTTGCGTGGTCTTGAGACATCATCCCCGAATTGCTATCTACTACACAGCATGAATATACTGCACACTTTGTGTCACTGTGAAATGTGTGGTTAAGTTGCGATTTCACTTTCAACCTACTTAAAGGGAATGTACAACATTTACCTTTGCTGCAAGTTTCAATAAATGGATTTGGAGGATTAGTATGTTATAACAAAACATTTTAAACTGACGTTTTGGGTTCGTAGATGCAGGAAAAATTTATAGACTTTGGGGAATTGTAAGATCAGAGAATCAATCGAGCCGCATTATACCTCTTCACAGGTGTGTAATCAATTGCAAAGAAAATGCAGACAAACTAAATATGAATATTAGGAGCACTTTTTGAAAAAAGCCAGTTTTCTCCAACGCTGGTCAGCCAACCAGCATTGGATAAATACAATTTTTCTTGAAAATGACAGCACACCAGGAGCCACAACTTAACAGGATGCTGTAGACTGTCATTCCCTAACAATCCAGTAAGATATTTCGTGATAATTTGATCATTTCGTTTTTTGATGTTTGCAAATGTTATATCTTCCCTTTAAATTATTTTATCAGGTATGAGTGGAAAACCACGAGAGATGTTCTTACATCATCAATGTCAGCATCTTCTATCATGACGACTTCAGCTCCACCTTTAGGCATGGTCGGGGAGAGCTGGCCAGCATCCTCCACGTAACCGTCACCTCCTGGCCCCACGGGATGCCTGGAAGACTCCGATTTCTTGGGGAAAGAAAAAAGGAATTCTTTTATTTTCTTTCTTTGATTTCATTCCAACTGCCATGAATGTTTATTCTTCACTTAATATGTACTGGGCTTCGGTGAAGATTTGACAACGGCAGAAATAAAGGGACAAGTACGAAACTAGAAATGTTATTTTATGGCTAAGGTTTTCCTTGGTGGTGTTGCCTGGCCAAAAAACACTGAAAGTCACCCAAGCCAGCACCCTATTCTGAACCCTTTTACCTCACATTTTTCTGACAAATATACTGAGAACTGGCTGTTGAAGCTACCCGATTCAGACAAGGTTAAAGTCCCTGATTTGACGTACCTCTAATGCGTTCAGCTTGTTCAAGACCGGATGCTTAAACAGCTCATCCATGGCATCCATATCAATGTCCATTGCCCGGGATGACACAGACACGGGACTCTCAGGCCGCCCTTCTTCATCCACAGACTCCGCCCTGCCGGGCGTGGTCTGCCGGTCGGGCGTGGTCTCGCCGGGATCCACCCGACGGGCCACGACAAGCCGGATGGTGGCGCGGGGGGACTTGTCCCCGGACATGGAGCGGCGTAGGATCTCCATGGCTCCGCCGTTGGAGATGCTGACTAGGGACTCTTCGTTGATGTACAGAAGCTGGTCGTTGGGACGCAGTCGCCCATCCTATGAACAAAATAGAAAAGACGTGGTTATGATCTCCAATCAAACAACTTTTCTCGACTCTCCTTACTGCCAATTTCAAAAACAACTTCAAGTTTGATTCAGCAACACCCATTATGGACAGGTGTTTTAGTATCCAGCCACACCAAATTATTCTGAAGATTTGAATTAAATAAGCCATTTGCGAGTGACCTATACCCTTTGGGATTAAAATTTGAAAAACGTCTGGTACACTGACTTGCTCAGAATGATTGGCACATTGTAACTGTGAATTCTCCAGACCAAAGACGCTGTTGCTAATCACATGATTCGGGGCAAGCTCTTGCATAGTTACGTAAGAGACGCTCAGTACCAATATATCGTTCACAATGGGTGAGAATGGCACAAAGACACCAGACCATGCCGGAGCTGGGGGTTGCTAGCATAAGGCTTGCCCCGAATCATGTGACATAGTAACAGTCTCTTTGGTCGGGAGAATGCAAAGTAAACACGTGCAAAGCATTGGATTAAGTCAGCGTTCCAGATTTTATTCAAATTTAACTCGCAAATGGCTTATTCAGGAGCAATGGTGGCAAAAGAAAGACTGACCATGCAGTTGTTTGGAACGACTTCAAATTGTGGTCAATGAAATAATACATAAAAGTTTGCCTGTCTGGAAAAAAATAATAAGTCGGTCCTGATACCATTTGGTTTGGAACAACTCTGAAACGACAGACTGGAGGGGTGTAACCATTATTTGCAATTCACGATTTCAAACCACAAATAATTACAGTAGTTGCGTAACTAATCATCAATATCTTGTGTGGTGGAATTTCGCAATGTCGGCATCAGGGATAATTTGTTTAGTGTACAACATTGCAGAGCAACCAGATGTTGTTAACTGAATAGTGCTGTGCATTGTCGAATAATTTAGTATTCGATAATTGGAACTTGGATTTGATCAAATTTGAATATTCGAACATTGGCATTGAGGTAAAATATAAACGTTTTATGAAAATCACATGTGTATTGATATATTTCTTCGAGCTAGCTGAACCTAACAGATTTTACAGATGCAAATTAAGGCTAATACTCAACAAGAAAGCTGGCAAATCATGTGTGTAAAGTAGCCATCCACAAAAAAAGTGGCATTTGGCAAATAAAACCACTTTAAACTACACGAAAAAATTCACATCGAGGTAAAGTTTTTTAGCATCTTTTCTAGACAGTTTTCTAGACGGTTCAATTTTTTTTTCGAATATTCCATCCAGTGAAATGCTATTTGGATATTCCGAGAATGATTAAATATTCGGATATCCGGATATTCGGCACAGCCCTATCACGACACCCTGATGCAGTCAGCCCATGAGGGCAGATTTCTCCACAAACTCTTTCCAGGATGTTCAGCGACGTGATTGTTTACCTTGGAAGCTGCACCTCCATGGATGACACTCTTGATGAAGATCCCCAGGTCCTTGGACTCCCCTTCCATCCCGTTGCCAGATGTCTTGCCCTTGACGCTCACCCCAAGCCCGGCCGAGCCAGTGTCGTTCAGCGGGATGTCGAAGACCAGGACTCGCTTGTTCTTGGCGTTGGTCGGGTCATCTGTGTTCTTTTCTTCAGGCTGAAATAAATGGGGGAGGGGGGAATTTGGTCCTTTGATTCTAGCTGTTAGATTAACAAGGCCGTCATTTTGAAGATTTACTCTGAAATTAGCGATTAATTTGACAGATTGCACTACAAATTTTGACTATTAGTTCCTGGGATTGGCACATCTGTCCAGAAAACAGATGGCAAGGTGTTTTACGGACCCTGAGGCATCTTCCCAGCAATTTCAATGCCGGTGTAGCGTGAATATCAGACTCCATGAAATGTGGACTCATTAGTAGTATTGCGCATGCGTAAGTACGATAATATGCTATTTTTAGGATCATTATGGGAGAGTGACCTGTCACGTGTGAGGGATTAACCAATAATAGGGAAAAAGGGGTCTGATTTTCATAGGAGTCGGATTTTTCATATGACACCGGGTCCAACACATCATTCAAACCATTTTATAAGCACTGTATGCTCAGTGTTCTCTGAGCAAGCTTGTGAGGAAAATTCATAAGTCTGCAGGACGTGGGAGTCGAACCAAGGACCTCCTGTCCATAAGAGCAGAGGTCTGCACTTGTTCACTTCTGAGCTTGCAAGGGTCAGCAGGCCACTTCAAATGATCTAAATTTCAATTCGGTTTGCCCTTCACCCATGTAGTGTACTACTGTTTACTCATTACTGACTTAAGACCCAATGTACAATATTTAAAGTCCAAGTGAAAGGGCCAAAAATATCCGGAATCAGAAGCCGAGGTTTGTAGAACTCCCTGGATGTTCCAAGGCAGTTTCAAGTACGGCAGGGATGTAAGTCAACTAAAAAAAAATTGCCTGAAAGCTGAGGTACAAAGGAAAACGTTTGTGCCAAAATGTTTTTTACAATTTGAACAAAAATCCTGAAATCAGGCACTTGTAAGAGGACTTACATCCCTAAGGCAAAAAAAAAATAGCCGGTCTCTGGTCAGCGCGCGCCTCGGTTTTAACCATGCGCGTTAACCTTTTTTTTCCCTTCAAATTTACCACGGAAGCTACAACAGCGCCCTCTATTACCGCACCTCCTCAAATTTTTGTACCAAGGAGCACCAAGGAATGGGGAAATTGCGTCAAGGCAAATAATGGAGGGCACCAAGGCAAATTATAAAGGACACTAATGTATATGAGGACACAAAAAAGCAAAATAGTACCCACCTTGTCTGTACAATTCAAGCTTAAAAAAAAAAAAAAAAAACACACAAAAACACGTCCCCGCATCAATTCCGAACTTTCGGTCTGACCAGAGACCGACTATTTTTTTTTTGGCCTAAGTAGGAAAAGCCTGTGTTCCCAACTAGAATTTGCTCTATTCTCGAAAGAATGTTTCAAGTTTCAAGACGTTCCCTAAGACCTACCAGTTCTCTTGGGAGGACCTGCTCCGAGGTGGACGGGGAGTTGGCATCCTGGCGGGACAGGACGAGGTTGACCACGCCCCCAAGACGGACGCTGCGGAGGATGGAGACCGCTTCGCTCTGGGTCTTGCCGGTCATCTCAATGCCGTTGACCTGGGATTAAGGGATTAAGGGAGAGGATTAAGCAATGCGATTAAGGCAGAATTACAGAATCAGAGATTGGATTAAGATATGATTAGCGACGTGAATTACTTATCAAGAGACAATGTCTGAATTTGTCTGAAAATACTGTTTGTTACACTTCAATAGGGCATGCAGTCGACAGGTTATGGCTGTTTAAATTTCGCACATATCCACATGGCAAACAAAAATACTGCGAAAAATGGCCATTAACATTTCGAGTCTTGTTGTCGTGAAAGTGAAAGATGGCAAGTTGTTTTGTCAATAAAAACGCTTTTATTCTATGATTTTTTTTACTATATCTTTAAACTACACACGTATGTGTAGCAGACATATCAAAGAATACAGATATCATTTAATCGGACAAAAATTTCCCCCATTTGTTTTTGGGTGGTTTTTTTTTTTTTGACATTTTTCTCCACCATGTCCTGTACCCATTTCCATATCATTTTGCCAGACATCTCACATATGGCAAGTGTAATCTAAGCGATGCTTGGCTAAGTTGACTAGTGTAGCAGAACCATTCATATGCTAATGTGTTATATGCGTTTGCAATCCACACTTGACTGTACATTGCTAATAAAAGCACTGCTATTTTTTAGTCTTTCGCCAGATCTGTCATCGCACAGGCATCGCAATTATCATATTTCTTAAAAGGTTCATTGTTGAAAAAAAAAAAATTTGGATGGAAGAAATCATATTCAGGAAATTACAACTATTTCTTCGTTTGGTTCAGCTTTTAACTAGTAGAATATTAACACAAAAAATGTTCGAAGTTAAGCAATGTCACAACAACAACAAAACTGTTTATTCGCAACTATGTAACACAGCTGAAAAAAAGGAGAAAGGCCCCCAAAGTTATAATAAGGTGATCATACGTGACTTTTTCTGTCAAAATCAGACTTTTCTGGGCATAAGGTCAACAATGAGATTTTTGCATCTTATTAAAATATGTTGTTTTTCCTTTTAATAGGTGGTTAATATTTGAAACCGGTCATTCCTGGGCAGAGTTATGCTATTTTGAAGTTCATTGTGTCGAAAAGTAGAAAACGGAGAAAATACATGTAGCCACAAACGTCACAAAACAGTAATTTTCCTTAACTGATATACCTCGACAAATCATCAAAAATACTATATTTAGAGTTCAAATTAGGGTTTCAAACTTTTATGGTATGTTTTAGACATGTTCAGCATGTTCAAGATTACAAATATGCAAAAATGTGAAAATGGAAAAAAATCACCCCCACAGCGTTTTTTTGGCCCTATCTCAATTTCAACCTCTGCCCAGAAGCGTCTGCTTTTGACAGAACAGGTCACATTTGCAAAAATGCTTATGAGAAAATGATTCTTTTTCCTTCTTTTTTTAATTTGTTAACGGTTTTAAAGATATCTCGAGCATTTGCATTTAGAAATCAAACAAAAATGGTTGGGTGTTCATGTTAATACGATCTTGCTTGTAGTGTGCTAACCTGACAATATCTGCAAATGGATTTAGCAGATAATGCCGGGAAAACAAACACCAGATTGCTGCCGGTCGTGGTTTTCATTTCAACGGTTTACTCTCTCCAAATGGATTCTATAAAACACTGTATCCATATCTCTTTTTTTCTCTTCGAAGGCTTTCCTAGTAAAAGCAAAATGCCGCGTGAAGATAATGATAATGTAACTGAAACCAGACACAAATCTAGCATTTACATTTCGGTGCCGTTTGGCTTTATCATCATTCTAAGCAATGGTGGAAAAAATGTTTTTCAGGAAATAAAATGATAGCAGTGAACCTGATGGTTAAAAAGCTCTTCCCATGCTGCTGTTGTCAGATAAGAATGACGACGAACACATTTGGTAAAAGGTCCGAGGTATTTTGGTCACAGTCTTTAAATAAGGTGATACATTGATGTTGGTCACATTACAGTTTGTACTGGTCTTTCTCAAAAGATGGAAAAAATATGTGGTTTCCTTTTAATGATGTTTAATATTTCTAATGGGAGCTGCTTGAGAAAAAATGTTAAAATTAGAAAGATGTTTCAATCCCAGTAAGGTCCTCAGGGTTTTTTTTATGGAAAATTCTTCCAGGATTGAAAATGCCACCACTTCTAACTGTCACGATTTGAATGTTTTCAGGTCAGTGAAATATTTTCAACAAACAAATAAAGAACACCAAAATAGTTTTCCCCAGTTATAGGCAATCAGCCTCAGTCCAAAATTTTGGCCACCGGTATCAAATGAGGTGAACAATTGTCATAGCGATTTTGGGCAAGGTATACACATCCAGAGTTGGAAAATACGTGATAGCATTGCAGCGGTGGCAGTTTTTTGGGTGTTATCACCCTTTTTTTTTCAAAATGTCCATCAAAATGCTGGTTACCACTCTAGGGGCGGTATACCTTGCGCATGCGCACAACAACCATTTGTGCCCTGATTTGATACTGACCAAACCCCCAGGCTGATGGCCTATTACATAACTTCTTAAAAACAATGATTCTTTTCAACATCTGTGTGCAAGTTGACTTCCCGTTTCATTGGAAGTATCACTTTACAAGTAAATTGCTAAAAGTGCCATCTTCGGAGAGATCAATTGAACCGGAAAAGCCCCTTATCTTCAGTACTTTACCTCCAGTAGTCGGTCTCCTGGTTTGCATCTTCCGTCTGCGATGGCCGCCCCCTTGGGCAGGATGTTCTTGATGTAGATAGGGTTCTTGCCTCCCACGGCGTTATCTCTGGTGGTGATACTGAAGCCCAGGCCTTGGGGACCTGTGAGGGATCAGTGATACCGGGTACCAATCAAATATGACATGGATGGGAGCTATTAACGCAGAGTTCGAAATTAGTGATAGCCCGTTAGCCAACTGCTAGTAAAAACAGCGGCGGGCTAGTCAAACTACGGTATTCCTTAAGTAGCCCTGCTGGCGAGTCAAAAAAATATTGGGATGCGGGATACGGCAAAGATGAACGGACAGTTAGAAAAAAGTCATTAAATTCAGTGAAAACCTCATCAATTTGTGTCTAATTTTACCAACTGTTTTAATAGGTTAAATGATCTGATTATTAAAAACACTGACAAAAATGCCTCAGAATTGGGCCTGAAAATACGCAATTTTGCATTTGAGCTGAAAAAAAAGTGGGCTAGTGAAAATGCCCGCGGGCTAGTTAAGAGTCTGTTTCAGTAGCCCAGCTGGCGAGTGAACAAAAAAGTTAAGGTCGAACGAACCCTGATTAACGTCAAGTCATAGAAAAATTTAGCAGTTATGCTAAACCTTGTTAAAAGATTGCATTTTTATATATCAGTCATTTTCGCAATTTTACATAAAACTACATCCGAAGGGACAATATTAACCAAAATGGCCACATATGTTTTGGTCGCCAGTTGACAGGGAACCAATTACTGACCTTTCATGAGTTGGACGTACAGCTTCCTACCGATGCGCCGCGTGTTGGTCGGCGCGATGATGTTGTGCACCTTCTGCGACGCCTCCTCCTTGCTGAGGGAGGTGGCCGGGGCGCGGGCCGGCACCGTGGGGGGCACTTTGGGCGTGTCTGTGATCTCGTCCTGCTGGGGAGTGGCTTCTGGTTGGGGCGGGGCCTCGCGCTCTACGGTGAGGGCGACGGATTCGGTGCGCATGGCGTCACGAAGTAGCTCTTGGGCACTATGTCGTATGAAAAAAAGAAAGAATAGTTTCAGCCAATTCTGATAATGAATTGGCACAATACAGTCCTGTTAACTCTTTCAGTGCCAAAGTCGTACATGTACGAGGTATATTTGTTAGTTCGACAGTGCCAACCTCGTACATGAACGAGGTAATGTTCGTACTTAAAATCGCCAAGCCTCGTACATGTACGAGGTATAGTAAGCATGTTATCATAAGGGGGCACTCTCGCTCTTTCTAATAATATCATTTTTATTCTGGTACGACCTGTATTTATTTTTTTCATTCGAGTTCTTGCGAGAGGGCACAGCACTGACACTCGTATTTTCTGCAAAAATTGCGGAATTCCCCTGTGTGCAGGACAGTGTTTTAGGGTGTATCACTATGTACATGTATGTGACTACTATTGACTGTCCAATATAACATGGATATACCAGAGAGCAAACACAACAAATTTAGTGAGAAAAACTTATTTACCTTTTTTTCTTACAGAATTTTGAACAATTACAAGAAACGCTCGAAGTTGGGCACTTAATGGTTAAACTTTTCAATTTTGCGGGCAATGAAAGAGTAAATTTAACCCACCAAAATCCTACAAACTACACCAAGAGGGTTTGATGATTTTGTTGGATTGTTGAGGGTATTCGGATTTGTGATAATTTTAAGGAAGGTATATGAATCCCAATCACTATTACTTAACCCTAACTCCCTAGGCATATTTGCTAGGATGCAACCTCAATCCTGCAAAATCCTCCAACTGCCTCCATGTAAAATATGCATATAGCCTCAATCCTGCAAAATCCTCCGTTGTTTCTTGAATGTGGTCCTTGGAGGGGTAACCACTGCCTCAATCCTGCAAAATCCTCCCGCAATTAGTCTATGTTGAGGCAGAGCCAGTGACATCCTGGAGCAGTGCTGAGGATTTCAAGTATAATCTAGGCCTAAATTTATGCACGGCTGAGCATAAACAACACAAGGTCTGGCCTAAAGACCTTGACACAGTGCATCCTTCAAAATCAGCCACACATTTTTGCCATATATAGCCTCAAATCTGCAAAATCCTCGATTTTGCAGAGAAGATTTGGGAAGGTTAGGGTTACTGGGGACTAGCACCTGTTGAACATTTTTTGCCAATTCAGATCGTCAGAGATGTGCATTAATTTGTTATCTACATGTGCGGTACCAACTAGCCAATGTCACCAATTCCAAATATGGCGTCATCGTCCAATTCCTGAAAAACCAACATTATCTTCAGTCTGCAACTTATCTTTAACAACTTCTGCTCTGTGCAGATATCGAATCATTGTCGGAGTACAATTCTGAAATTTCATACACTGTTAAAAAAAAAATAACATGAAGAACAAACAAAAGTGGCCGAGTAAGACAGAAAAAGTCCCCAGACACTTAGTCTGTGGAAATTTAACACCTACAACCATTAATCAGCTATGACAGGTATATCACGATTACATTTTCCGTTCGGGAATTGACCCCAGGCTCAGGAACTTCAATTTCTTTCTTTTTTCTGAATGATGCAAGTTCCGAACTGTGATATTTTGTCACATATTTCTTGGGTGATGAATGCGCTACTGGGGTTGGGGAGTCATGGTTTGGTGCCAAATTAATTAAAAGAGGGAAAAAGGGAGAACGGGAAGTTGAAGGAACCGTTGGTGCTAATTGGCGCGTTTTACAAGCTGAATTTCGGGGCCGGACGATTGGCGTAAATCATTTCTCTGCATGTGAACTTGTTGGGACAGCAAAAGAAATAGTTCAAACAATGGTACATGTATATTTTTCCTTGGTGGTTTTTAAAGGTGTCCTCTGGATTAAAGGGAATATACATCATTTGCTTTTGCTGTAATTTTCAGAAATGGATGGAATTGGGGGGTTGGAAATATATAGCAAATATAGTTACACTGACTTTTTTGAGGTTTTGGGTTCGAAAATGCTATAAAAACCAAGAAAAACAATGATTTTCCTGTAGTCTGGTTCCTTGACTCCATTTAAGAAGAAACAGAGCAGTTTACATACATTGGGGAATTGTAAGGTCAGGGAACCAGTCTAGCTGGCTCGTACCCGTTCATAGGTGTGTAATCGATTGCAAACAAGTGCGATGGTCAACTGGGGCCAGTATTTGAAAAAAAAGCCAGTTTTTTCCAACGCTGGTCGGCTGATCAGCGTTGGAAATTGATACAAAAATACCACTTTTCTTGAAAATGACAGTATACCAGGTGCCATGATTTTACAGGATGCTTTACACTGTCATTCACTAACAGTCCAGCAAGGTATTTCAAAATGATTTGGTAGTTTTATTTTTTGATGTTTGCAAATGTTGTATTTTCCCTTTAACCTACCAGTATCTCCCTAGCATGGTTTACCAGGAACCATACCCATCCTGGCAAATTCCAACACCATGTGGGAAACTGCACACACATATTTCTGACTTTGTTTCTGGAGGTGTGCCAACCCAATGTAAAAGATTGTCGCTTTAGGGGTACTGTACCCATCCTTACAGATTCCAACAAAACATGCCGTTGGGGTTTGATGGGTTGAGTTCTGTTAGGGTTAAATGCTGTCAAATTCCGTCTGTCCCCTTGATTATACTCATGTTCTCACAGGGGTGTGAGTGACCACTGATAAAAATAGCTGAAAACAGCTGAAAAAGGTGTAAAAAAGCTGAACTTGTGGAAATCTCCATACTTTTGTACACAGCAAGTGAGGGAAAAAAGCTGAAATCCAAAACAAAAAAAAGCTGAAATCAGCTACATGTATAAAGCTGAGATTTCACACCCCTGTTCTCAAAGGTGTTTTTTTTTTAATAATTCACTCACATTTGTCACAAACTTTGTCCCTAAAAATGAGGTTTCATGTCAAAACAAATCTTTCTACTTGCAAACGGTTTGCTTTGTAAGAAGCGTTTCGACTGTACCGGTATGCTTTGAAACATTCAATCCCAGCTACATCTAAACGAAGACAAACATCTCTTGTGTCTTTAATCACACCAGACAAACTCAATAACCAACACCCATAACTCATACATGTACATGGATGTAGTGTGTAGATATGCTACATGTGCACATAAAACAGGTACCCCAAAGGTGTGTTCATCCCCTCTCTGGCCTGACCTTGCACGACCTCCGCCCCTCTGCGCAGGTCAAGGTTCAAAGGGTCAATGTATATCATTTGGCAAGCTAATTAGGTGACACCCAGCAATGTGGCTTTGTCATTTGCAAAGCCTGGCCTGTGCTGGTACTGATTCGGGGTAATTTGACGAATCGCTCAATTTTCATGCTGTCGTCAAAATGTCCTGGAATGGGTGGGGGAGCTTTTGTGTCATGACGACATTTCGAGTTCTGCGACTATACCAAAAAAATTCTGACGTTGACACTCCTTTTCAATACAAGATAAACAAAAAAGGACAGTTTTTTTGTGTTGTGTACTTTTGTGAGGTATTGTGACTATTGCATTAACATAACCTACATCAATAAAAATGTGCCAGAACTGGTTAAAAAAAAATTAACAAAATAAAAAAGCTTGTGATCAATATATTCTCTCGCTTTATTCTTTTGCTTCGCTGTCTTGTTCCAAGTGAAGCTACATGTAACACACGATGGAGTAATACATTCTTCATAAAAAAGTTCTTAAATTTACAAATACACATTTGAAAAAATGAAAGTTTTGGAAAAGGGCTAGCCAAAATATTCACTCCTCAAAACAGTGAAATGGCCGCTGCTTATCACATTTCAAAACCCAAATTCAAGAAGCTCACGAAACACTTCTACGTAAGTTAAAGATACAGTTGTCCATGTGTCTCTCTATGATTTTAAAGCTATAGTCCATCATTTGCAGCTATCCGAAAAGTAACTGGAGTAATTATTGTTGAAAAACATACTTAATTGAAAGATAGTAAGGGGACTAAACTCCCTGTGAAATTATTCTTTCTGGCAAGCTGTCATTTGAAAGTAATCAACGAAAGAAGGCCTTTCCAACGGTGCTTCTTAAGACGCACCGTAGGAAATTTAAATTAGTAGCTCGTTTTGTTATTCGGCGAAGCGCGCGCAAGCACTGGCACGACGCAAACGCACGCGCGGTTGCTGTAATTCGTCGGATCAGTGCGGGACATCGCATAGCTGCTATCGGCTCAGTGAGAACGTGTCTCGGACGCTGAATTCAGGCCCAATCCAAAACATGATTCATCAACTTTTGAATTGAAATCGAGATCCTAGAATGCTGTTTTTCTCGGAATATACAGCTGAAGCTGAGCTGAAACTTCATCAGGTTAGCTGTTCAGCACCCTTCTTTAGAATTTGAGCACTATTGTTGCTTCAAACGAACAAAATGCACAAATTACAAATGATGGACTATACCTTTAATAAAGTTAAAGATACAGTTGTTCATATATCTCTCTATGTTTTTAAAAACAACGCCACTGTTTTGAATTACTGTTCCCTCCAGAAAGCCAAAACATGAATCATCTCTTTCACAACAAATGATGGCAATTTAGAGAAAATATATCAAAACATGACCTACACCTTTTCTGTTTTTGCTTTTCATACCAAAAATAATTGTGTCGCAGAGTTTTAATCTCCGGATGTAATTTATTGCTTTCGTTGACCTGCTCGACTTTGTTTTTGAAAGTCCCCAAGTTGGCAAGATTGGGTCCAAATTTATATGTTCGGGTAACCTCACCACGACACCGAAAAACCGTGTTTCACAAAGGACCTTACACCTCCTCAAACTGTAAATTATGGTTCGATATATAAATTTTCATCACAATTCCCATTAAAGGGAAGTCTGCAAAACTCCGCTTTAATATCTAGAAGATGTTGTTCAGATCAGAACGTTAGACAATTTTTTTGATTAATATCTAGAAGTGAATTTTGTAGAGTGTCAATTGTTAAAAAGGTTTCACATACTCTTTAAGACCTAAAGAGGGAGATTTTGTTTGTATGGGGGGGGGGCAGTACACAATTTTAGTGTAACAAGTTATGCTGATTCCAAGTTCAAATTTGTTCAAGGTTTGTATTACATAATTGTACTTTTGAGAAAGTTTTAGTTTTTAGTAGAGAATGGTCAAGGCAAAATCTAGGTCTCCTAATCTTCTAGCATCTAGGCTCTTCGTGATGGGTCAACAAGGTTTTAACTTCTGGAAACTTTTCAGCACTATGGACTGTAAGTTTTGATCAATCTATTAAGGAATTAACAGAAAATAATTTGCACAGGTGTGAATTATTTTCTGTTAATTCCTTAATAGATTGCTATGTATCGACAAAAGCACATGTACACCAAAACCAGAATTGCGCAGAAATTACTAATAGAAAAAAGTCAAAAGCTAGGCAGAATTCCCCCCCCCCAAAAAAAGAGTATCATTCAGTCCTCACAGTTTTATTTAAACTCCACCCACAGTGTGGCAATCTCGCAATTAAAATAGCCCCTAGTCCTCTCCCTGAATGACTGCTACAGTTCAGTTCCAAAGTCAAGTGGCTTGTCAAAAAGATTTGAGTGAAATATGGGCAAAGGGGTAGGCTTTCTTTCCTGTTTTTAATTTCATGGTAATTGGTCGTGAGGGGTTTATATGTCAACCTGTTTTTCAGTCGTCACCAGCCTGAGCTCATTCTGGGGTTGTTCTCAATGAGAACTTGTGGTTTTTTTATGGGGGACTGGGGAGGGGTTTTTACTTCACATTTGTAGATCTCATTGCAAAATCCTGGGATTTCATGAAAAAGTTTGCAAAGAAAAAACAAACTTTTTTTAACACCTAATGAAACTTTTGTCACATAAAACCTGAACTCAGTGCATCCAAGTCACAGACCAGAAGTACTTAAACATTTCTTTTTTCTACTTCGGTTTTTTTTTTTTTTTTTTTTTTTTAAGATATTTGAAGCAGCAAACTTGTTATTTACTTTTTTTTTAAATCTGACAGGGGCATGATAAAATGATTACTTTGGATTTTATAAATTTTTGGTTTTTTGGCAATATCAACAAATTTGACAAGAGCCCCAATAACATTTTTATCAAACACTGATTTGTAGGGATACAATATTTCAGCAAACTGCTCTCATTTTCAAGAGTTTATGGAAAAAATTCAGAGATTTATAAACAAATAACCGTGGATTTTAATGATAATGAAAAAAATTAAGAAATGTCCCAATAACAGCCACTCACCTATCAAAGGTCATCTCAGTGATGTCCAGTTTGTTGATGGTCAGTATGTGATCACCTTCCTGGAGCCGGCCGTCCCTGGCCGCACGGCCACCGGTCTCAATCCCATGGATGACCAAGCCATATGCACTGGACAAAAACAAAGAGAACACATTCAACTTGAGGATTATGGCACTTTGACTTAAAGGGAATATACAACATTTGAAAACATCAAAAAACGCAATGACCAAATTATCACGAGATATATTACTGGATTGTTAGGGAATGACAGTCTAAAGCATCCTGTAAATTTGTGACTCCTGGTGTGCTGACATTTTCAAGAAAACTGGTATTTTTCCAACGCTGGTCGGCCGACCAGCGTTGGAGAAAACTGGCTTTTTTCAAAAACTGCTTGCAAACTCTCTGCTGCAAAAACTGCAAAAACTCATTGCAATTGATTACACACCTGTGATTGGGTACAAGCCTGCTAGACTGATTCTCTGACCTTACAATTCCCCAAAGTCTACAAATTCTCTGTTTCATCTTAAGTGGGGTCAGGGAACCAGACTACAAGAAAATGAATGGTTTTCTTGGTTTTTCCAGCTTCTACAAGCCAAAAAAGTAAAACAAGTCATTTTAACAATATTTGCTATAACATACTAATCCTCCAAATCCATTTATTTCTGAAAATTGAAACAAAAGCAATGTTGTACATTCCCTTTAACAAAGCTAGCAAATTTGATTGTCGATTCTTCAGTAGAAAAACCTATCCAACTGAATGAGTAACAGACGCCTTAAACTTTAAAATATTTTGACACAATCTTAGCTTTGGCCAAGTGATATTGGAAGTCATGGTCCTAAAGCAAAAATGCCCCATATTCGCAACTTCTATACAAACATGGTACCTGCCAAAAACATTTTTTAAAGAGCGCCCTCAATGGTTGAGGAAAAAACAAATACTTTGAACTTTGACCTCTCTGCAGCTCACCTATCATCGTCATGCTCCACCCGTGCAATGATCTGGATGCCGAGGGGCGTGCCGTCATTTTTGATGATGATCTCTTCCATCTCCATGTTGATCGTGCCGTCGTTTGTGTCATTACTCTGAAATAAAAAAATTATAAAAAATGAAAATGAGTTTAAGCATGAGTTAAAAAAAAGGGTAAGTATTGCCAAACTCTGTTATTCCGTAAGTAAACCACACACAAAAATTGTTTTTCCATTCGATGTCTCATCCAAAAGTGAATAAATTTGTAATGCTTAAAAAACAAAAAGCAATTCGGGTCGATTCACAATTCAGTGCGCCACCAAGAGTTTGCCACGGAGAGTTCATTTTTCCCAGTGCATTGTAGGAGATGGTCGACAAATTCGCAGCGCGGGACATTTGAAATTGTTGGGTTTTTTTTCGGTCAGTAGTTTCGTAAGCGTATGATTCGAATATACATGTATGTTCGCCCTTTTTTTTCCTTTTAATCAATATGATGTTTTTTTATGACGCTATGCCCCAATCTATAACAAAATTAGCTCAAGTTGTCTACTGACACTCATTCAAATGGACAGTGTTTTGTCGACTGTAAACTTAAAAAATGGACTCTCCATGGCAAACTCTTGGTGGCGCACTGCATTGTGAATCACCTGAATTGAAAAGAATGTTTTCCCTATGAAACCAAAAACAAAGCAGAGACAGTACGTCTTTACAGTTTGTACATATAAAGTTCGGAACAGGAACATTTGTACTGGCATGGGGGAAAAAAACTGCTTTCTGGAGACAGACTCCACTTCAACAAATTGACATCTCAAAGTTGCAGGGTGGTACATGAACAACTCAGCTATGTCAACCGATACACATTAACAACACAAACACTTGTGGCCCTGTTAGCGCAAAGCACTGAAAACATCTAGACATTCCCCATGTTGATTCTAGAAATTCTTCCCCCCCAAAAAAAGTTTTGAAAGCTGACGTCTGTCGTGAATCGGTGAAAAACGTTAATGGAGACAGAAGTCCTCAATGCTTCAGGGAAAAGATCACAGTTCAAACCACTTTTTGGCCACAAAAGAAGTAATGGCCTTACTGGGTTTTACCCAAGTTGATTTAGCCTTGATGAGGTTTACAAATACTTGGACCATGTACTTCAAATGTCCACTAAATCTCACGATGAAGGAGAATTTATCTAAACACCGAAGAACCAACAGGTGGTTTTAAGTTGCAAAAAGTTACACTTTATACGGAAAATAAATCAAGATCACGCCCCGGTATTTCAGTGAACTTTCAGGCACAGTGCAGGAAACTGACAATGTAATTAGGTTTTGGGAGGTGTCCAATTTTCAAGAACTTGCTTGTGTGAATTTTTTTAGAAAATTTGTGGGAGTCTGTTGATAACAGACCATTCTGGAGGCACCACCCACTTCGCACACGAGCCAACAACATGCATATCTCCCTAATACCGCAATCCATATTCCAGCTGGGAGTGTAATGTACAGTTGTACATATATGTCAGACTTTAAATAAGACATTTCATTGCGCAGGCACGGCTGTTATTGGCAAAACCATCATGGTCTCAGATCAGACTTATAAAAGATCAGTCTCTGCTGATCAATGGAATTTGTCTATATTACAATGAAAGTTTTTTTTTTAGAAAAAGTTGTCTTCGCGTGAAATTCACTTGGCATGCCTTTTCCATTTGTCTTCAAATTAACGACCGCAAACTGGACCTGAGATGAGACAAATAAACCTGTCCACTCTTCAAAATAAAATAGGTCACTATCGTAGAAAAAAAAAACTTGATTAAATTTGAAGTGGCTTGGGGAGTAGATCAAGAGTAGTTTTAATGTAAACAAAGTTAACCAAAATGGTCTTAAGATAATAGTTGGCAGCCAGAAACTAATTTGCGGTTGGAAATTGCTCAGCGATGTGTCGTCCCCAAGACAACTACTTATTTTCAGGTCAACTATTTTCAATTGTTTTCCGACTTTTTTACAATTTTTGCAGGCTCCAAGAAAAACGAGAAACAATTTCCAGACGAGCCTTGAGGCACTGTTCACTAACTACCCCTGACCACACACTTTTATTTGATGCCCATCTGTCATCGCCCCCTCTGTAAATCAAATGGCCTGTCATCACGCCCTCTGTAAATCTAACAGCATGTCATCACCCCCTCTGTACATCTAACGGCCTTTCATCACCCCCTCTGTAAATTTACAAGCCATTTCTGAGTATGGAATTGTCACTGCCTTGTCTTGTAAGTTTACAAACAGTGTGGGATTTACTGCAGGCCCTTCGGAGCTACAGGTTCAAAAATAAACAGCAGATAAAATAAAAATTGGGACAGTAAAAATCAGGTGTCAGATTTTATATACTGAGAGAAATTCTGGACCACTTTTTGAAAAGACAGCGCTGAAACTAGTTTCAAATTTCGGTTTTTCAGAACAACACAATTTTGTCAATCAAACTGCAAAGCAAAAAGCTTGAATACGCTGAAAAAAATTAGATTACGAATTTCTGACTTATACCAAGAGACAAACACACATCCCTTCTTTCACAGGAGAACCCCTTGGCTAAAGACTGCCTCTTTTATTTCATGTTCTGCTTTTCTTGCAGACAAATTTTGTCAGGGAGAACAAGGTTTTTTTCCTTGTCAGATAAAAACAACCCCAGTTGTTGCGTCGAAAATTGAAATTGATTTCCTTTTCCCCTAACCTATTTCAAACCTTATATCTTAAAAACCTAATATTTGCAGATGGTAACACCATTTTTTTTTTTTAAACAAATTATGAAGACCGCCACAACATTAATGAATAACAAGAATCAACATGTAAAAAAGACTGGAGGAAAAATGTCTTTCGGTTTTTTTTCTTACCTTTTCCATTTTCTGTTGCGCCTCGGCCCACTTGTACATCACGTCGCTGTCAAGCGTGTTGGAGATGGACTGTCGCGAGGAATTGCGTCCGAACCGCTGGAAGGCGCTGTTCAATTCGTTGTCGCGGCTGTTGCGTCGTTTCTTTATCATCTCCAAGCTCGGTTGCTGACGAACAAATAAAATGAAAAACACCACTCCAGTTAAAAACAGACATGCACAAATTACTTTTCAGACGTCCGGCACGTACTAACGTTGGTATCTTCCGCAGAAATCTCGGGAAAAATTCGCGGTATTAAAATGAAACTTGACACTCGATCACTTTCTAACGACGGAACATAGTTTCTTTGACTCCTCAATTTGATATCGGCCATGCTGCTGATAAACTCGATGAAAACGAATGTTGGAATGGAGAACCATGGAATGCTGTATCGCAGAAAACTGCAAGATGCATTACCTAATATGGTTCGTTGTGGTACAGTTATGCAACTTCTTCCGACCTCAAAAGTACATGTACGATTTTGAACCTTTGCATGGTACAATGGATACTTGCATGCGTTTGCAGACGAAACTATGTGACTATCAATTCCTTCTATAAAACGAGTTGGAAGAACAAGATGAGAGTGTTTTCTTGAAATTTTAGGACAGTATACTTTGCCCAACTTGTTAACATTCTCCCGAGGACAGAGTACCGTGTCCAAAATTTACGCTAAATAGTAAAGACTAAACCCAATATTAAAATATGGAAAACATTTTCGCTGTTGTTTCTTACCCTCTCATGTTTGGAGATACTGTTTGCATTCGAGTCCACTGGCTGGCTGTCAGTGCCGTTCCACTTTTCTGGGTCGCCGTTGACGACCACGGGCATTATGGGATCGCTGCCGCGACGGACGCGGAGCTTGGGGTCTGCAGGAACGAACAAAAGTAAACACTTCGCTGTCACAAATGTATACTTTATTAGCAAACTGTACATTTATGCTTAAAAACTAGTAAGACCATGTACATGTACATGTCTATACCTGAAAGGTGGCTTAGCCTTCCCAGGCAATATAAGGTGGTATAAGGACAAACCAACTGCGGGACATTTATTATCAGCACAGACCTACATGTAGTACAAGTTGTCAGGCTCAACTGACATGCCAAGTTTGTCAACTATTACATGTATTCCCCAGGGTAGCCCCCATAGTGCATGATTCAACACATATACTTGGCAATTGTTCAAGAATGCCGAGAATTTATGGGTTAATGTCTACATGTAGTTGTTTTTTTCATCCTGATGACATGAACTGTAATGAGGCTGTGGGGGTGTCATAAATGGTAAAGGTTAGAAACCCCCCCCCCCCCCAACCCTCTCCCCCCCCCCCCCCCATCCAACCCCTACCCACCCCTTCTCCATTTTACAAAGAGTCACCGAAAGGGCAAACTGCAAAACTCGTGGAAGGATTGCATGAGGGATCACAGCCTCGAAATAAGGCTACTCAACCACTGCCTTGAGTTGAAACAAGGCTATCTAGCCGTACATGTACCATTTAACGCAAGGAACAGAATGCACCTCCCCAAGCTTGTGAAATAAGGCGTTGTATAAATAGAATGTCCTTTGTCTATGATGTACCTAAATGCCTATGTACATATACATGTATGTACTCGGACATTCTCCCATTAGTTAGGCCACATCAGGCTGTGTCCTTTTTGACAGGTTGCCACCCTCCCCCTCCCCCCCCCCCCCCCCCCAACCACAGCCCAGTCACCTGGCCCTACTTCATATTGCCTCAGTCCATGCACCGTCATATTCCTCAATGCTCCACTGAACTCCCCCAAGACAAGTCAATCCCTCGGTCAATTAACAGTCTACAAACTTGCCCCAAGTCTGGTATGCATTAAATGCCCATCAAGTCAATGTAATGAACTAACTAGGTCGTGATATTGGAAAAGGGTGCGCAAAGTCTGTTTCTGATCATGTCTGCTTGCATGCATAGAAAACAGATAATGAATGATATTACCGGTAGGAGAGATCAAAATAGGTTTATACCGGTACTGGTCCAACTGACCCCAGTATTATCAAATATTGTAAAATTTCATTTATTAGGGTATAAAGCTACACAAGATTTGACACTTTGCAGTAAAAAAAAAACATGCCACATTCTCAGAATTTCATACAAAACTGAGAACTATCAAGCCCTGTGTATTGTTAAAAACAGGCATTTGTGAAGTAAAACTAGTCAGGCATTTGCCTGAATTGATCAAAATCGACACCATCATGAGGAGTAGAGACTTTTAAAAAAAATTCTTTCATTTCCACAAATCACAGAAATTCCTGATTTGATGAAAACCTACATTTCGCAGAACAAAAAAAAAATGACAAATTGCAAGCTCATTGTTTTAAATGCACAAAATATCCTGTAAGGTATTCAGGATTTGACCTCCTTCCAGCGACCTTGTGTTTCCAGCCAGCGCTAATTGCCGGGCACCTCTCGAGGGGGTGCTCAATCTTCTAGGCCACCCAATTCCATGTGCATCTACACTCACAACCCCCAAGGCTGCACTGTCTGGGTTATGAGGATTGGCCAGAATGCAATTGGAAGAGATTTCGAGGGGATTGTGTAGATGATTGGGTACCCCCAACAGCCTGTCTGATGCCTGCAACATTTGCAAATTGAAATGGAAGAGTTGAGATGTAGAAGGGTGGAAATATTTGAGTTATGCTTCAATAAGTGAAGCCAGAATTTTGGAAGTGTGGAGAGGTTGGAATTTGGTATTTGTGCTGTAAAGCTGAGGAAAAATGTGGGGTATACCCAACAAATTTCGGCAGGGATCAGAAAGTCATAACTACTTGTGTAAGATCTCAAGGTCTTGCAGGGTATGATCACTTGTAAGTAATAAGTGCGCAACAAGAGACAATTTTACCACGTGTGCATACGGTTATGGCATACTAGTGTATCTCTAAACTAAATATTTAACACAAATAACGGCTTGGATATGACATGTTCATATTAGCAAAAGTATCAAAGCAACTGGCCATATTACAACATGTAAGAAAATGTTGACCGAAGCTGAGAATTTGATACATGGTATGTGTTATGCCTGGCAAGTTGCTGAGAAATGTCAAATTTAACAGTAGGTTTTACCCTTCACCACTGCAAAGCACTGTACATGTATGATCAGTGCCTTCCAAAATCTCCAAAAATTCACAAACTTGCACAGATACTGAGATAGGACTCGAACCAATGACCAACTCAAACTCGTGCAGGCAATTGCAAGCGGGTCCTTGGTCCAAATCCCACCTCAGCAAGCTTGGGAACTTTTCTCCCGAGTTCTCGAAGAGAAATAAGTAAACAGTGCTTACCAAAGTACCTCCGTGGAGGGCAAAACTTAATAGATTTGGTCTGCATTTTCAGTTGGACAGCAGTGCCTTGAAATTAACCCTTTAACACTTGTATTAAAATGTATTACATTGTGTTACATTGTATTTACTCCTCTATAAATCAATAAAACCATAGAGTGCAGAGCGGTTTGAGGCAGTCTAAGGAGTAATGAGCAGGGCGGTTTAGGGCAGTTCAAGGGCTAATGGGTTGATCATTAAGGACCACTCTTGGATTAAAGGTCTAGAATGAAATTAAAGTCTTTGAAACCAACCTGTGGAAATTTCGTCCCCCGTCACCACCACGTCCACGTCGTCACCAGTGTCGTCAAAGTCGCCGTAGTGATTGGCCAGCATCACCCTGTTGTTGTTGCTGTTGTTGGTCGGGCCGTTGACGCTGACCGCTGAGACCGTGTGGGCGCTGTTGTCCAGGCTGTGGAAGGTCAGCGGCGGGCTGGCCGTGCCTACTGAGCTGGCGCAGGTGCTGGTGCCGTCGGGGATGAGGTGGGTGTGGCGGGGCCCGTCCTGCTCATCAAAGGTGGCTATAAGCTGGAAAATAAAAAAAACCACATAAGGGTTATCAACCTTCCTAGTCTTCTGCACTTCACAACCCTTCAAGTTTTGCAACACCACTTTTGCCCATAGAGTTAGCATCCACACTTCAAATTCCTTTGAGGTAGCCTTCTGTGGAGTATGGATAACATTTTCAAATCCCTGCACAATTCTGTGGTGTGGTTAAGCTCAGGGCAAGCATGCAGATTCGGTCATGGTTCACTGCTCTCCACAGTGCTGTTTTTGTGGGCAGTGACTCTCTGTGTGACACAGTGTTACATGTCATATCCCTCACCTGAAACAGACCTGTGCAGGGTTTTAAAGGGTTTTACATTACCATATTGCTCTGAATACTGACTTCCCACTTTAAATTTAAGAGGGTTAGACGTGAACATAAACCCATGAATGCTACAGACCTACAAAACTAATCCCCACCCAACATTTATGGCAGTTTCAGGTAGCTGGTCTGTTTGTTAATTCTTTGGAGAGTATTTGAGCAGATGGAATGTTATCTGACTTTGTGTACACTGACATAACCGTATTGTAAACATGCCATGTTGTGTTTATCAGTGCCTGTTTACACAGAAGACCCCCACACAAACAAACAGAGACATTTCTCTGTAGTTTTCTAATCACTGCAGCTAGAAGAGCACTGCACTGTAGCTTGGAGGAAGGAGGTTGCAGAGTCAGTGGGAAACAAGTGGCCACGTTCATCCTAAGGCCTTCTCACACTATTGTCTTGTCTCCACCGTACATGTACTGGAGCAAGTGCCATGGAACACTGGTACACTAGGCAAACTGTTCAAACAGACAATGGTTTGGACACAAGTCGGCTGTCGATTTTGGAGAGTAGAACCATGGAGCTATTGTTTAAAGGGAAGATACAACATTTGCAAACACCAAAAAACGATCAAATAATCACGAAATACGTTACTTAATTGTTAGGGATTGACAGTCTAAAGCATCCTGTAAAATCGTGGCTCCTGGTGTGCTGACATTTTCAAGAAAAACTGTATTTTTCCAACGCTGGTCGGCCGACCAGCGTTGGAAAAAACTAGCTTTTTAAAAAATCTGCTCCTATTTTTTCGTATTTAATTATTCAGCATTTTCTTCGCAATAGATTACACACCTGTGAAGGGGTACAAACATGCTAGAGTGATTCTTTGACCTTACAATTCCCCAAAGTCTGTACGTTTCTCCGTTTCATCTTAAGTGGAGTCAGGGAACCAGACTACAAAAAAAATGATTGGTTTTCTTAGTTTTTTCAGCATAAGCAAGCCCAAAACGTGAAACAAGTCAGTTTTAACAATATTTGCTATAACATACTAATCCTCCAAATCCATTTATTTCTGAAAATTGCAGCAAAAGCAAATGTTGTACATGTGCATTCCCTTTAATAGCTCCATGGTAGAACCTTTCAATCCTAGCTTTGACTAGGGTTGGATTTTACCTGACTTGAGCACCACGGCGTAGCAGCCTTGTTTTACTCATGCTAGTGTGAACGGTGTTTCCGAAATTTGGGATGGTGAGAAAGGCCCTCCAGATCAACAAAAATCCAGCTTGAGATTTGGAAGGATTTAAGTTTTAACAGCACTTCATTAATACTGCCTGTATGTACTTGAAAACTTTGACCAATCAGGCAACAGGAAGTCAACTGTCATTGGCCAAGCACCCAATACAGCCAGTGTTGCCTGACCTCGTTGTGATTTCAAAGGGAAAATACAACATTTGCAAACATCAAAAAATTAAAACTACCAAATCATTTTGAAATACCTTGCTGGACTGTTAGTGAATGACAGTGTAAAGCATCCTGTAAAATCATGGCACCTGGTATACTGTCATTTTCAAGAAAAGTGCTATTTTTGTATCAATTTCCAACACTGGTCAGCCGACCAGCGTTGGCTTTTTTTCAAATACTGGCCCCAATTGACCATCGCACTTGTTTGCAATCAATTACACACCTATGAACGGGTACAAGCCAGCTAGACTGGTTCCCTGACCTTACAATTCCCCAATGTATGTAAACTGCTCTGTTTCTTCTTATTTGGAGTCAGGGAACCAGACTATGTACAGGAAAATGATTGTTTTTCTTGGTTTTTATAGCATTTTCGAACCCAAAACCTCAAAAAAGTCAGTGTAACTGTATTTGCTATATATTTCCAACCCCCCAATTCCATCCATTTCTGAAAATTACAGCAAAAGCAAATGATGTACATTCCCTTTAAGGATGAGCAAGGTCTACATGTAGTTTTCCGTCTAGAGAGAGTTCCAATCAGGACATGTGTTACATACAAGTCGCTTGTATCTTACAATCTTGCCAGCCAGACAGACATGTCACACAAGGCCACTCCTAATGGCCCTATAATAATGCCAAAGTGGGACATCTTAACAGCTTGTTCCAGACACCCTAAATGTCTCCCACATGCTACCCTTGTTGTGTGACTTTGAGTTATGGGGGGCTACACAAGCTGCCTGCCAGAAGCAACAGGCAGAGACCAATCAAAGCCCTGTCCAAATGGTTTGAAGGAAAGGGCATCTAATCCTACTTGAGCACAAGACTAGTCCACTGGACCAACACCAAATTTTAGAATAAAAATGTGACATTGAAATAAAATGCTGACATACACAATGTCCTTATCGTAGCATTTTTTTCTGAGTGAAAACAAAACATTCCTTCAATAATGACATGTACCCGGTACATCTATTGTTAAAATTGACAAAAGCATAAGAACTACTTGTATACCAACTGAAGGGCGTCAGCGTTATGCAATGCCCGTGACAGAGCTTTGATTTAAGAGCTCAGTGAATGAACCTGAAATGTCTTCTTCAAATCTTATCCATCATCTAGTAATGGTCAAGGAGATTACAGACTAGGAGTTTTACATCATTTCTCTGAATACAGTATACTATACATGTAGATCTACAAGTAAATGGTTCAGAAAAAGTAATAGTGAAACTGTGTTTTCAATAAGCAGCTATAAAAAAAAGCTCAAGATCTGTTACTCTTGCCTCCTGTTCAAATTCCCCTACCTCATAGACAAGCAATGAAACATCTGTAACACATAACTGTCACTAGGAGTTTGTTTGCAGTAAACATACAAATGAGAATTCCACATCAGAGGCATTTTTTTGTGTAATATTCTTCCATGAGTAGAGATGATCTTGACAATACTTGACCTCTCTCGAGGACATAAATTACAATCACTGTCCAACAAGTGGTTCTGTAGCCACTCGATAGAACAAAATCCCCTCAAATACCTGCCAAGCTGCGGCTCCACCTCTCCTGAAGTGACTTTGGCAATTGAAGACCAACGCTCTGAAGACAACGAAGACAACACAGCAACCAACATCTACGCTAATGATTTCAGTACAAGCAATGGAGTGGAATGTCTAAACTAACGACGTGGGCCACTTGCGGACTTGCGTGAGCGAGATATTGGCTCGGGCAAGCCTGAAGTTCCCTCTTTTCGCTCAGACTTCAAACACCCACTGTCTGCATTCCAACACAGTACAAGGACTTGGCGCTAATAGGCAAGACCTTTAAAGGTATCTCGTACAGATGTGGAGAATTCTTCCAATTGTTCCTGCATGCCTCAACATTAAAGCTAATGCAAATCTAAACACCTAGCACATGCAGCAGGCCCAAATGTTTCAGACTGAAACAATATAACCATTAATTTTGCTGCATAATAACGAATTGAATTTCTTAAAGTTTTTTTTGTAGTAAATCTTTTCTTTTCAGCATTTCTATTTCTTCAATTAAAAGCTACACTTACATGTACGTAGCAATCTTCACAACGCCACATTTCAAATGAAAATAACTCAGCTAATTCCAAGAGTTTCCCACATAAGTACCCCAACACAAGGCAATTTTGAAAGTCTTGTTAATTTTGAACAAATGACATTTGCTCTGGATGTTGAACCTGTTGAGATTCAGCAGGCATCCGATTTAGATTATGTTAAAATTCAGGAAGGGTTTACTTGGAATACACACACTTAACGCAGGTTAGGATTACAATCTTTAGGCTTTGGTTGTGCCCAGTTGGCTGTCGATGAAGAGTTTTCTCTGAACTAGGGGTGCAAACCAAATATCGTCGGTACCTTTAATGGAAAAAGAGGTCCAGACATGGGCCCCAATGACAGGTAAAGCTGAGGGATCAGTGTGCTATTGGACTGGGGATCAATCTAGCAAAGGAACCCGTCAACACCCGTACAGAATGACCAACAGGCTTGGGGGACAGGACCAAATTTACCAACATTTTCCTGGTAATAGGGAGGGTAGTGCTAATATGTATGCATGTACATTGTAGAGCTAGAGGGGTGTTCCTGGTTTACCTAGAGAGGGGTGTTGCTGGCAATGTGATCACCAGTGGATCCCTTATCAACTTTTTTTTTGGGGGGGGGGTGGTGAAGACTGCAGCATCAATTCAAATTGTAGAAGTGTTCACTTCACTGCTACACCCCCACCCCACCCCCACCCCCACCCCCACCCCACCCCTACCAAATGTTCTATTGGTCTTTGAAGCTGCAATTTCATTGGTTTGGAACAGTCCCATGTCAGGTTTGTAATAAACACATGTCACATCATTTATGTCGTTCTGCCACGCATACAATGTGCATCAAAAGGGGGGCATAATACGCAGCGCGTCCATGTACACTGTAGAGGGCGCCCTTCTTGATGCGGCATTTCATGTATACTGCAGGGAGGGGGAGTTCAAAGTAAGCAATCAGTAGTTAGGCCTACACTGCAATGATTACATTTGATTCTGACAAAGAAATGGGGTACAAATAGGCCTTCGGTACAAAACACTCGACCACCACCTTGCCAGGGTCAGCTTGCCAATTCAAACTGAGCACAAAACACAAAAAATAATAAATTCACATTTATACAGAAAAATTCCATCACCATCATAACAACCTTATATTAAAAAATTGTCACTTCCGGCTAATCGTGAAGTACACCGGACAAAGTTACGGCTTTGGCTATGGATATTCTC